AGATCAGTTTTAAAGCAGTCAGTGATGTGACCAGTTTGTCCCATATATAGCACAGCTATTGCTGGTTGGCAACACCACAAGTAGGAATGCAGCACCGGGAGGTGGTGGTCATCTGGCTAGTGATGTCACATTTATCTTGATGTGCACATGGGACTTTCTGGTAGCTGGTTTGGATTATTTGTAGTCAGACAGGCTGAAGCGATACTGGTAAAAGCAAAGGATTATCCTGTCTCCTTATGTCTCCAGATCCAAACCAGATGGCTCACTGAAGGGTCTGCTCTAGGCAACACAAACTATTAGTCTGAGCACAGGAGCAACTAGATGAGGTCTGACAACCGGTGATAGGTAGGAATGCAAGACAGGATTTGATATTCCTTTAGAGACAAATTCCCTGAACCTTGGTCCTGGCAATGTGCAACAGGGAAGTGTGGATGCATGATGCCAGCAGTGTGCTGTGCAGGTACAGCACAAGCCATGTGAGTTGTAATTGGGATAGGGAGGACATGATCCATAGTTCAGTGAGGTGGGGTACTACAGGCTGGGCTTTAAAACGCTGCTTAGGCTCTCTGGACAGGTTTGGAGTGGAAGCAAAAGTAGAAACAAAGCTGGTTATTTCCATGGTAAGAATATCTTAAGTGGCCAAAACCTTCTAGCATTCTTCATAGAAAATAACTCCAGAGGGATAAACAGTCCCACCCATGTGCCCCCATGCACGGTCAGGCTGGTTATCCCAGTTTCCCCCATCAAGCCCTCCACTGCACCGGCTCTCTCTGTGTCTCAAGCCTGTCCAAAAAGTGTCCCCCAGACATCCCCTTGCTCCTCCTCTTTTGCAAACATCTCTTCATCTCTTGTGAGCAACCTCTGCCACCCTACTGCATAGGCAATATTCTGCACTTCATCTCTCACCGTCACCTCCTCCTCTGTCTCTGCTACAAGATGCTAGTGGCATTTTCAGCCCTAGCAGCACACACAGTCTTGTAGTTCTCCCTACTAACAGAAGCTGTTTCTCTGTCATGCCTGTTCTTGGAAGAGCAGAGCAAACTGTCCCTCGGAGGGTATCTGTTCAGGCTGTTGCAAAACTGTGCAGAAATGGTAGTGCACTTAACTATGGCTGTGAGCAATTTCGATCTGCAGAGGCCAATGTGGGCTGGAAACACTGGCCAGTTCTGCATTCACAACCAAAGCTGAATTCAGATTCTCTAATTTTTTTTATCTTTTGGTGGCAGAAGGAAGTGAAAAAGGACTGTGAGGTTGAGATGTTCAAACTCCTGTGTGATTCAACACCTCTTCCCCTAGCCAAGCCCAGCAGCTGGCTGAGCTACCCGCTCACCTCTGAGGATGTGTATGAAGCTGAGAGCAAGGGAAGGGCTCCCAAGGAGCAGCCTTCAGTTGGCTAATTGAGCTGGGTGGTCCCTGGACAAGGTGATGCTCAGCCCGCGCAGAGCTGCCCACGCCACCCGCATCCCAGCAGTGTCACTGGTCGCCTTGCTGAGCCTGCTGGCTGCAGGGTGCTCTCATGTTGCCCTCTTGTGGTCCTAGAAAATGCAAGACCATCTCAATTCCCCTTACTTTCCACGGCAGAGCCAGAAGAGGGGGATTTCTTCTCTGTTTGAAACAGGACAAGCAGTCCAGGAGGCCACATCACTCGCCCTCACAGGCTGCTGTGGGGTTGGCAGAGCAGCAGCAAAATTAGTCTTGGTGGCAAGCTTTTTCCCCTGCAAGAGGGTTCCTATGAGACACAACCTTATGGAGAACTCTCTCTGGGCTGGGATATGGCCAGCTCATTCTCCTCCCAGCTCTGAATATTTTTGTGTTGAACAGTTTGGTAAAGCTCCACTTGGCCATGGCCGAGCTCTCCACGTGAAAACATGATTACAAAATGTTTCCGAGGCAGCGCTCTCTTGAGCACGCCTCTCAAAGTCTTGCCATGAACTTAGCCCCCAGTGTTGCAAGAAGCGTGGGCTAAAACCAGCGCTAAACCTTTGGACATAGATCTGCAGCACAGTGATTTCACGTTCTTTTGAGGCTCCAGTCAAGACAAAAGCAGTTGATGGATTTCTGTCAGAAGAAACAGTGAACAGTCGATCCTCCCCATGCTCTCTGAGCCACTCATGATTTTGTAGACCTCTTCACTCACCCTATGTCCTTCTTCCAAACTGGAGAGTGCCAGTTCATACAGAGTCTGTTCCCATACCTCTGAGCATCCTTACTGCCTGCCTCCAAACCTACTTCCTTTCTGAGATGAGGGGACCAGAACTGTGTGCAGACACTGGAGAAATACGTAAACAAAGTGAAGCCTGACCCAGAAGAATGAACCAAAACTCTTACAAGCAAGACTACGCAATCTTGGGATGAGCAGGAACCCCGGTGGGGAGGGCGGATGAGACTCTGCATGCGATGCATGCTGGTTTGTGTGGCTGGCATAAAGGAGGTAGAAAAAGGGAAAATAGGAATAGCTGAACTTAAAGAGTGAGGCAGCTTAGCTGGGGATGTCAGCAGACATGGGTTGGTCATGGCAGTGACCTAAAAGGCTGCAGGAGGGATTGGGATGATGAAAACAGCTCAAAAACTCTCTCGACAGGGAAGAACAGAACTTTTGGGTTCAGAGGACAACATTTAAAACCCCATGGCAGGAGCTGGCATCCATTCTTTAACTCCAGCAAACTGTATACAAGTAACTGTACCTGCAGGGAAGAGAGCGCCCAGCTCCCCGCACAACTTTGAGCCCTCTGCCAACATCATCGCGCCATGCCAGCACTGTGGGTCCCCGCCTCAGGAGAGCAGATGGGGAGTCAGCGCCCAGCCTGTGAGCGTACTAACACGACTCTGACAGTGGTGCGTGCGACACGCTCTGCACACCCCGCTCCTGGCTGGTGGCAAGCCAAACTGGGATCTGGGTGGTTGCTATGGAGAAGTGTAGCTAAATGCACAAACAAGCGCCAAATGGCGATAACTGCTCTGGGGGCTGAGAGACTTAAGGCTTTACAGTGTGTTGCTGAGGGATGGTCTCCCTTGGGGCATGGAGGCTTTTTTTGGCTGGCCAGGAAAACCAGTGCGGGTGTACCAGTACTCGGTGTACCTGACCCCTACGCGATGCACAAACTGGCCCTCCTTGTCACGTTTTTGGGATTTTTTTATTATTTGTTTTTCTCCATCTCAGTGCTCTGGAGTGATCTTACAGTGTACGTAAGCAGCCAAAGCCAGCTCCTAGCAGCAAAACTGAGACTGCACCAGATGGACAGTGTAGACCCACTCGTCAGCTGCTGCCAAAGCTGAAGCCCACAAGGCAGCGAGAGACTCCCAGAAGGCAACAGCGGGGAAGGGGAGCCCCGGTGCTGCCCGTGCCTGTGAGGCAGCAGTGCTTTGTAGGGACGAAGTCAAGGAGAGTTTGCACAGGCAGCTACCTGTCCTGCTCCGCGCCCGGGTCCTGGGTGCCCTGGCACGGGTGCCGGGCATGCAGGCGCTGTGCCCCAGCCTGGCG